GGCTGCTGGCCGCCATCTTGGTTGGGTTAATTTGTATATAGTCGCTCTGATTGGCTGGTGGGCATGGCTTAAGGCATAGTGAAGGTACAGTCAATTTGCATGTTTGTCGTTTATTAGTGTAGATTATTCAAATAAAAGAATTCTGTGGTTCAGATTTTAAAACGCTACATTTCTTTCCCATAGGACTACTCAGAGCCTTTAAAAGACTAATAATAGGAATTTAGAGACCTCAAAAGAGGAAACTTCATGCAGTATTTCCCTGCTTTTGTAACCATAAATGGACTAACATTTTATGAAATACAGTTTGATAAATTCTGTACTGGGGTTGATGATAAATCTATAATCTAAACAGGAAAACATGAGATGGCTTTCTATGAGTCAAGCCTTATTATAACAAATACCCATACAATGAACATTAGAGCATTTTAAAACATTGATAATTTTGAAACAGGGATAAGCTTCAAAGAGTGTTTGATATAAGAAAATCATTTAAAATAAAAAATTAAAATATTTCTTAATTTGGCCCTGATATACTATGATTTATTTCTACCTTAGCATGATGGAGGAGTGAGTGCGGGAAGAATGAGTCAAAAAGGAGTGGGGGAAAGAAGAAAATCATTTACAAAATTGATTTCTTAGCTACATCAAGAAATTTCAACTGAATTGGACTCCTACATGATATGAAATGTTTCTCAGAAGGTTTAATTACAGTATTCTAAATGATTAGAGATCATAAATGACAGAATATGTAGAATTGGACAAGACTAAAAATATAGACAGCCTTTGAGAAAAATCCTCTTGAGAAAACTATTGTAAGAAAATATACAGATGGTGTAGCCTGGGTTACTACAGAGGCAATGATAAAATAAACAGGAGCAAAAGTGAATTAAGTTACCTTCTCCCTTGAGTAAAGAGTTATTCTACTCCAACTCCCAGCACGTCTCAATTGTTCAAATTAAATATATGCTTACTCACTAACTCACACAGTGAAGCCTGTCATGCTGGCATGTAAATGTCCATATTCACAGTGAAAACCAGGTAAACACTTCAGTATCATCAAATTATAATGACTGCACATTTTCATAACTGATGACACATCTCTGTGAGGGCAATCATCACCTCTTGAGTGAGACCCATGCATTATGGCTACTCAGCATGGGGATGCTGGTGACAGGAGCATCAGTGGACCAGCACTGACGAAGCATACACAGGCTGTAGGCCATGGACTGAGTGCTTGAAAGCTCATGATAAAGATCGGCATCCCCATCTTCTGGGAGTATCATCAGCAAAAAGCATTTATTATCATACAGAAGTAGGAATTTGTGCCCCAAGTCAGATCAGACACTAACTGGCTATTAATTCAGTGTGGTGGAAGTATATGGAATAATCTTTCCTAACACACATAGAAGTATACCAAATAAAAAGAGGGGATATAAAGAACCTAAAATGAGTATTAGAAACAAAAATTGTATATAGTAAAATGTCAGCACTACAAAATGAAAAAAGAAAGTGGAATGGCTTTTGCTGAAAAATCTTTTACTATATTTGAGAAAACCATTCATAGTCCTTTAGCTACTAAAATTTTGACTCTAACTCATGGCAACACAATGTAAATGTGAAAATGATGCTGCAGAATCTTAATAAAAAATTATACTTGTTAGGAAGAAAAGGTTTCTAAAGATGTATCAATCTTTATCTTGACCAAGGGTGCACATTTATGGCATGACTAGCTGCAGTTGAGATACAATCTGAGCCCATAGAGACCAGATCAAAGCTAACTGGACTCTATGGAAAATGAACTCATGATCTAACTTCATCAGCCATGATCTAACCAACTGAGCTAATGAGCCATATAAAATACATGTTGGCATGAGATATTTACTTTGAATCATTTCTGTGCTTAAATGGGCCATATAATTTTAGTCAACTTTAGAGATGTTTTCCCAAGGTTTTGTGAATAAATTGACTCACTGATCACACACATTTACCTATTATGTAGAAAGTCAGTGGTGAGGTAGTTTAAAAATACACAAGGCAATATGCAGAATTTAGAGTCTATATAGGAGAGAAAAATGTAATAGAAAATAACTATAGTGCAAAATTTAACAGCAATAATTGATGTTTATTGAGTATTCACTATTTCTCAGATATTACACAAAGCACTTCTGATAAGCTAACTATATCCATCTCATAGAGAAAAAAGTGAAGCAGGTTGTGTAACTTTCACAAAGTCACACTCTAGTAATCTCTCACTCTGCCTTGGACTAATGATAAATGACTGTGATAGATATTGCAGAGCTAACTCTCTGAACACTCATTCCAACTACCCTTTTCCCTTGCCACCTTCTCGCATATGGACACGAAAGCTACAACTCTTATTCCCAGATTGCTGGCTGCTAACGATTACGAGATGACACAGTTATGGCCAATGAAATGAAAGCAAAAGGGAGCTAGGAGTTTCTGGAAAAGCTTCTTTCTCTCCCCACAACCCCTTTCTCCCTCTTCCTCGCCCTCTCTATCTCTCCATATATATAATGTGACATATGATATTATGTGATATATATTATATGTAATATATACATACTCTAGACCAGTGGTTCTCAACCTTGGCTGCACATTAGAACCACCTGGTAATCCTTTTAAAATCCTGATTTCTGGGCCTCATCCTCCGGAAATTCTGTTTCTTTGTTAAGGGGTGGGGACACAACATTAGTAACAAAGAAACAGAATTTCCAGAGGATGAGGCCCAGAAATCAGGATTTTAAAAGGATTACCAGGTGGTTCTAATGTGCAGCCAAGGTTGAGAACCACTGGTCTAGAGTATGTATATATTACATATAATATATATCACATAATATCATATATCACATTATATATATGGAGAGATAGAGAGGGCGAGGAAGAGGGAGAAAGGGGTTGTGGGGAGAGAAAGAAGCTTTTCCAGAAACTCCTAGCTCCCTTTTGCTTTCATTTCATTGGCCATAACTGTGTCATCTCGTAATCGTTAGCAGCCAGCAATCTGGGAATAAGAGTTGTAGCTTTCGTGTCCATATGCGAGAAGGTGGCAAGGGAAAAGGGTAGTTGGAATGAGTGTTCAGAGAGTTAGCTCTGCAATATCTATCACAGTCATTTATCATTAGTCCAAGGCAGAGTGAGAGATTATTAGAGTGTGACTTTGTTATGGGGTGGGGCCACAACATTAGTAACAAAGAAACAGAATTTCCGAGGATGAGGCCCAGAAATCAGGATTTTAAAAGGATTCCCAGGTGATTCTAATGTGCAGCCAAGGTTGAGAACCACTGCTATAGACAGAAGAGAAAAGGTGAAAAAAGATGTTTTCTTTTTATAAAGCAAACATTATCTTCATTTAATAAACTCTGATATTTAAAATACAAGTCAAACATCTACATTAATAAGAGTCTCAGTTGTCAGGAGTGCTTCAGAGGCTGATTTTTCTAAGGACCAGACAGGAGGACCTGTATATATAATAACAGCAAAAGATCTCAGAGAGTGTGCAAACACAGAAGGGAGGCAGTTGGGTCCTGAGCAAATGACACTACACAGTGCACTTGTCTTATGGCCGAAGACAATGCTTTTTTATTTCAGATGGTTTCTGTATTTGAATATCAAATAGTTTACTTATACAAAATAGTAATTTAAAAAAAAACTTACTCCTAGTAGTTCAGTGTTGTAGAAATTAGATAATCATATTTCAAATATATGTTTTCCTCATAAAAAAAAGAGCAAAAAAAAAATATTCCTGGAAACATTCCCCTTTGAACTATGCAAGAGACAACTGAAGTCCTACATTAATCAAGAATTTCCATATATATTTCATTATATTTGGATTTTGTGTGCCATATATATATATATACACACAGTCCAATTATACATATACTGTGTGTATGTGTGTGTGTGTGTATACATATATGTATATGCGCGACCGGCCAACTGGCTGACTGGGCAGTAGCTATGATGTACACCGACAACCAGGAGACAGACGCTCAACACAGGAGCGGAAACCACAGGCATGGAAACATGGAACAGACTGATTAATCTCAGAGGGAAATGGGGGGTGGGAAGAGATTAACCAAAGATCTTATATGCATACTAGAGGCCCAGTGCATGGATTCGTGCACCGGTGGGGTCCCTCGGCCTGGCCTGCACCCTCTCACAATCCAGAACCCCTTGGGATGCTGGATAGCCAGTTTCAGCCCGACCCCTGCAGGCCCGATCCAGATAGGAGGGAGCCCGATCCTGTGCATTGAGAATCTGTCCCCTGGTGGTCAGTGCACGTCATAGCGACTGGTCGATGGGTCATTCGGTCGCTTAGGCTTTTATATATAGATAGATAATATAAAATCCCGTTCTACACTGTGCAAATCCCTAACACTATGTGGTGCAAATATAAAATAAGCTTTATTGGAGAAAATCTTACAGGCTGACATATAGCAGAGGGAGCACAGCTGGACTGGATACACCATGGTAATTGCTCTGTAGAAGATCTCTGGCCTCAAATGGGAGAATTAAAAAGACTCCCACATGAACTTACATTGCTCCATTGGTATAGACAGTATCGCTTCCTTCCACATACTGCACCTGAGCTGGGTAGACATGCTGTACCTGTTGCACAGTCTGTACCTGCTGTACCTGAAAAACAAATATTAGGACCTTGGTGAGTGATAGATATGAGAAAATGCACTACATTAGATTTACCTCAAATATTTTTCTAGGTTGGTGATCAATGTGAGAATGGCTTAAGATGTGATCTGTAACATCCTTCGAAGACAAGTGAATGTTGGTTGGGCCCAGATCAACTGCAGCAATAAGGCTGAAAAATTCTATAACATTCCTATAGGTATATAGATATATACACACTTCAAATATTTAGGGTGAAAATTCTGAAAGCTTCTCACTATTTTGAAAATTTAGGACTTCTCTTCCCCTGGGTTGTTAAAGCTAAATTTATTTTTTAATTAAAAAACTCATGATGGAAAATTTCAAACACTTAAATATAGAATAAATATTACAACAAAACTCATTTATTCATCATTTTATATAAATATTTGTCACAGGACCTCATCTTTCAACCTCTCAGAGGATTATTTAAAAGCAATTGCAGAGACTATATCATTTCACTGGTAAATATTTCATTTTGTTTATAAGAGATAAGACCTATTTTTAACATGAACACAATATTGATATCACACATAAATATTAGCCATTCCTTAAAACCATCTAAAATCCAGTCATAGTTCAAATTTCTATGATTATTCCAATGTCTTCTTATTGTTGCTTTGTTCAAATCAGGACCCAAACAAGGTCTACATATTACATTTGTATCTTTCTCTTTTAATATATAATAATAATCTATGATAATAAATGTGTAATATGCTAATTAGACCAGATGTCCTTCCAGGCGACCTTCTGGACAAAGCTGGGGCTGCGAGGGAACCCAGGTCCC